TCTCTCTCTCTCTCTCTCTCTCTCTCTCTCTCTCTCCCTCTCTCTCTCTTTAAATGCATTATTATATTTTAATTAAATAAAAAAATACTTGTAAATAACAAAAATTAATTAAAATAATTAATTTCATAAAATTTAACTTAAAAATGTAGAACACCACATAATATTTTTTGCACTAATGGGACAATGTAACACTGTCTCGGAATGGTGCGAGCTCACAATTTATGAAATTGTTTCGTCCGCTCTTCTCTCGCACGATATCTTCACCGACTCAAAAGGAGCCGGCACGCACCTGCACCTTATGCAGATAAGGTCGAGGTGCTTCAGGTCAGCCCACTCAGGGTTAAGGTCACGTACCGTCTTTTACCTCTTGCTCTATCTTTCTCCCTCTCTTCCTCTGTCCTTCCTCTTGTTGCTCTCTCTCTTACACACTCTTGCACACTCTTGTTCTCCCTCGCTTCCACCTGCAAGAACTTCTCGCGCAGGTAGTCTCTCGGAGGATTGAGACGTTGCCTGACGTCACCACTCACCTCCTACACGATCAAACACCGTGAAAGTTTTGTCAGCACTTCCAGTCAGTAGAAAAATATTGATAATTATCAAGAAGAAAATTAACATTTCATCAAAAATTCGTCTTCTCACACTTCTAATAGATAAATAATTACTGAGAGTTTATTTTTATCAGAAATATTCAAAAATATTATACAACTGGACAAATAAAACTAAAAATTGAAAGATTTAACGATGCAATATTTACAATAAAAGCAATAATATGTAATAGTTAATTTTAATAGGATTTGAATCTGCGTTTTCTCTGTTTTCGCATTTTCCATGCGCTGAACGAGGAATTTAGTTTCCAACATGTCGCGCATCGTGAATTTTCCGTGATTTTCTTACAGGATGTCGAGAGACTGCTTTCATCTACGCCATCACGAGTGCAGCAGTGACTCACAGTATCGCTAGGGCATGTAGCGAAGGCAGCATTCAATCGTGCTCCTGTGATTACACTCACCAGTCACGCGTATCATCTGCCGTTCGAGATTGGGAATGGGGTGGTTGCTCGGATAACATTGGATATGGCTTCAAATTCTCTCGCGAATTCGTCGATACTGGCGAACGTGGCAGAAATCTTCGTGAGAAGATGAATCTACATAACAATGAGGCCGGCAGAGCAGTAAGTTCTTTCTCAATTTCGTTTTATTTAAATATATATATATAAAAAAAGAATTAAAATGTTAAAGTTACTCTTCTAAATAATATTTCATTTGTGATTTAAATTCAGATAAAAACGAAATATTCATATTTAATCTGGATATCCGAAATTCATTTACAGCCTGCTATTTTATGTGTTGGCATATTTGTGTTGAACAAAATAATTAATCTGCAATAAGCTATTCATCGCGAGACGAAAAAGTTAAGATCACCATGAATATTAATTTTAATTGCAAAGAAAAATTACAGGACTTCGCCTCTCTCATTACAGCACGTGACTTCGGAGATGCGTCAGGAATGCAAGTGTCACGGTATGTCCGGCTCGTGCACGGTGAAGACCTGTTGGATGCGGCTGCCGAATTTCCGTGTGGTCGGCGATAACTTGAAGGATCGTTTCGACGGGGCTTCTCGGGTAATGGTCAGTAACTCAGACCGAGCGCGCGTTACCAACAATGCCATCACCAGCAACTCGGCGAGTAACTCCGTGCATCAGCATCGTGATGGTCTCGGACGTCGGCAGCGCTACAATTTCCAGCTGAAGCCATACAATCCGGAGCATAAGCCACCCGGGCAGAAGGATCTGGTCTACGTGGAGCCGTCACCGCCATTCTGCGAGAAGAATCCCAAACTCGGCATCTTGGGTACTCACGGCCGACAGTGCAACGACACGAGCATCGGCGTTGATGGTTGCGACCTGATGTGCTGTGGTAGGGGACACAAGACTCAGGAGGTGACGGTAATCGAGAGGTGCTCTTGCACTTTCCACTGGTGCTGCGAAGTCAAGTGTCAGCTATGCAGGACGAAAAAGACGGTACACACATGTCTGTGAAAAGAAACTCGATCGTAAGATATCTCGTAATCTTGATCATCTTCGATGCATCTTCGTACAGGGTTAAACGATCAAAGTTCGAACTTTTCCTGTTTTCGCGGTACTTCCTTGTATAACGATATACATTGATGAATTCAAAGGATGAGACTACTTCTTTTAATTTAAAGGAGTCTGATAGTAGAGTCTCTCGTAGACTGTCGCGACGGTCTGTTTCGAGAGATCCTGTCATGAGTCTTGCCAGATGAGGTCGAAGTCGTCGTGGAGTCTCCCGCGTGAACCCGTGGGACCTCCTCGTCTTCAGTATTACGCGAAACGAACGGAACCACATATATTTATTACGCTGCATCGCGCGCGTATTAAAGACTGAGATGGTGAGAAGCGTTCGTGCGATCGTAGATTTTTAAGGCTTTAAGGTAGGAAGATTGTGTGAGATGCGGTAGAAGAGCGATGTAATAAATACCAGTGTAAACGCTTGCGTAACGCCGGTTCACTAACTCGCTATTCACTGAAGATCCACATTGTCCCTATAAATAAAAGATTCTGACATCTCAGCTGTGACAATGTTATACGGTAGAAAAAAATAATTTAAGGCTGCTGCTATTCGCACGTCTTATCCGACCATAACTCATCGGAGACGTTCGATAAAATTGTTATTTTCGTTGATAATATTCTAATTCAATTCATTATATCTCTTCATCTATTAATCACATTGGATTAGAGCTTGCTTCTTCGCTATAGAGGCTTATTGATCACGATAAGTAAACTGATGCACGAAGAAGCCTTCAATTATTTTATCCTACTGCATATGAGGTTTTCGTTTTAAGTGATGTTTATTGGCTATAACACGAGCATCGTGGTCTCGTGAAAGCATTATTTATTTTAATAGTATTCTTTTTGCATTTTAGATACTCCCTCGGGGAAACAAGCAATCTCGTATACAGATCGCAAACTTGTACATAAATAAATTATAGCGATATATTTTGCAGCAATGCGAGCCAATCGATGGCCTCTGTAAGAATATATTCCTCCGTAAGAAACTATTGTAAATACAAGCAGATTTACACACACACACACGCGACGAAGGTGAAGCCCTACAGGGCAGTGGTAAATTATTTTTATAACTTTTTCATATTTCGCTCTTTTTTCTCTTCTTTCTTTATCGAGCGCTGGGATATCGAGAATTCCACAGATTTAGAAATGACCTTTTGTCAATGCTTGATAGAAAGATTACTCTTCGAATGAGAAAATTTTAATAAATAAGCTAATTCCAATGTTGTGCATAATAGATGTATTAATTATTGCCCGTAATTTATATAAATAAACATATAAGAAGATTAAATAAACTGTTACTTTTATATCCTATCTGTTTCTCTCCCAACAAATTATAAAAATATTTTCATTAATTTTAAACAAGTGATTGCATCGATCTATCGTACAGCCTTCATCGTCAATAATCTATTAAACGATAATTTATTTTATATTTAATATTTAATCGAAATATAAAAATCACAACATAAGAATAAATATACTTTGCTTATTATTTAAAAATGAAATAATAAATTGATATAATTCTTAAATATAATAATTAATAGCTTTCTGTTAAAATATGCGTTTGAAAGAGATAAAAATTAGTTTTATAGGAACTAAAATTCTCATAAATGCGAGGTATCTATCGTCTATATTCGAATGTTGAACTTTTTTCGCGGATCTCCGCGGATAAAATGTATGAGCAATCCCTCGAACTTCGGCCCTACGATCAATGTGCCGCGCCGCTGTGCCGTGTCGCAAGACTATTCAATATTTTCCCATTACACGATGCGCGCCGCCGTCGACGTACTCCCGCGAAATATAGCCAACTGGTTCCCCAACTGGACGACTTCATAATTCCTGTGCCGAGTAAATGTCGTGGGAGGCCCATGCCCCGAGGAGGACTCGTTTGCCTCTCCTCATCCTCTTCTTCTTTCCTTCTCTCTCTCTCTCTCTCTCTCTCTCTCTCTCTCTCTCCCTCTCCCCCTCTCCCCCCCTCTTCCCCCTTCTCGTCTCTCCTCCTTTTTCTCATCGCGTTCTTTCTTCCTGCATCTCTGCCTTCCACCGTTTCAGTGTTCAGCAAATGCTGCACGCGATGATAACGAACGCAGGAATCCCGCAGGAATCTCTGTGCGGGATAAAAGGACCCTGACCGCATACGAACAGGCATCCGCGCTAATGGTACCAACACTCCATCGCCGACCTACCGGCTTTCTCTTCCTCTCTTTCCCACCCCTTTTCACCTTTTTTTCCACATGCTCCTTCTCCCGATCTACCTTCTGCTGCCGTTTTTTCCTTCTGTTGTGTCTCTCTCTTTCTCTATCGTCGGACCATCAGTTCTTTTATCTGCCGTTCATGCTCACGAATAATAAGTATTTCTTTTTAGATTTGTAAAAGAAACAGAAAGAGGGAGAGAGTAAGAGAGAAAGAGAGAGAAAGAGAGAGAGAAAAGGAGACAGTACATTCTAAGAGCTTAAAAATTGATCTATTAATGTTGAATCAAAAATACTACAATCGTTTTCATTAGATGACGTTTCATTAATTGAAAAATTATAATACATGATAAATTAACATAGAGAATTGTCGTGTGAATAAACTATACAAAACAATTTTTTCATTAGAAGAAAAGCAATTTATGACTTAATGATTTACTTAATAACATGTTTATGACAGCAAATTGAGATCTTATTTTAACATCAAATACTTTAATAAATTAATGTCTATACCTTATAAACCAAGCTAAGAGTAATTATTATTCGAAATATCACTGTAAGTATAATAATTCTAATACCTAAATAATATGTCTGGGCAATTTATGTTCTGAGCAAATTATTTTTCGCTCAGTATAGTACTTTTTCTTTATAATATAAAATTTTATCTATTACATACATAACTGATATATCCAAAGTTTTTAGTAATAAAGTTCAGAATGAATCAAACTTGTAAATTCAAGTTATGCAACACAGATTCAGCATTTACGTCTATCTCATTGCATAATGGTCAATCAACTTCCGCCATCGAATTCCTTATATCGTCCATCACATTGAGATCCACATTCAGCGATGCAACTCAGAGGGATAGTATATACGATAGTAAAATTCTTGCGAGTGAGCGAACAGAGGAGAGAGAGAGAGAGAGAGAGAAAGAGAGAGAGAGAGAGAGAGAGAGGGAAAGAGAGAGGGAGAGAGAGACTTCCAGCGTCCCGGCAGACAAGAATCTCGGGCAGCCGGACCACTTCTCACGGCGGTCTCTTTGATCTTACCTGACCCACCCACCCCCTCGGTCCTCCACCTCGACCAACGGACACCAGCAGCCTCTCCAGCTTCCTTTCCCCTCGCGAGTTCGGGTTTTTACCCTGGGCCAACTCGACGTTGAGCGGCAGCCAACCCTCCCTTTTCGCCACTCTACCTCTTGGCCACCATCCTCGCATTCTCGAAAAGCACGAGCGCGTCTTGGAGGCGACTGAGGTAGATTCATTCAGTTTTACTATTATTACGCATACCGTCACGCGTGCGGTTCGTTTCAGCTCGGGGAATGCGATCCTGGATCCCGGCGATCCCGTCGAGGCGCTTGGTAGATGCGTCGGCTTAATGGAACGGATGTCTGGGAGGCGGAGAGTCACGGATAAATACGACATGTCGTTAAGAGACCTCTGTAGCTCTTGAATTCTGGCTAACATGGAAAGTAGCGCGTGCCAATTTCATTTCGCAAGTCCTTCTTACAAAATTCGCAAATTCTATATAAATACTCGTGATAGAAGTCAACTTAAGTTTAAAAAAAAAATTAACATTATCATTTTTTATACCCTAAAAATTTAACCTTCATGAAAAACTCTTACTTCCTTTGGGATTCTTTATGACTCGAGTATTATTCAAGTTTCAGTAATTTGAAAGAGAAGCGATACTAAACTAAATATTATTAACTTCGATGTATTAAAACTTTGATATATAAAAAATTAAATTAGAAATAATTTTATTACAAATATTTCATTCATCAAAATAGATGTTTTACCGCTAAAATCGAATTTTGTTTAATTTATTGATGAATAGCGCTTGCGAATAAAAACGGTGATGATAGCTCAAACTAATTGGAAATAAAGTGCGCCGTCGTGTCATTGACACTTTTTACCAACGCTTCTTTCGCCGCTCTATCGTTATTTGAATCTTTTGCATGGTTCCCTCGCCGGCGAAGAGAAGAGCGATCCCTGTCCCCGGCGCCGCGATCTGATAGAGGCGACGAAAACATTTAGAGGTTATAAGAGCCCCCGGAACGATAAAATCGGGGCAGCCAGGCGGGCGGAACGACACGCGGCGTGTCGTGCACGAACACACGCGCGTGGCATCCTGATGGGCTCCTCTTCACTCCGCACGCGAAGGCACTCAATTGTCATTCCCGTGCTGTACATTTCGTATTCGTGAAACGTAAATCGGATGCAGGCGCTGATACGTATAGAGGATTCTTCACAATGGATCATTATTGCTTACGAGAACTGAAAAAAATGGCATATTTTTTTTTTCATTTTTAAATTTAAATAATATCTCTGCTGACATTTCAAAACTTTCCTTATATATAACTTATATATAACTGAAATAATAATCGGTAATGATTAATTATTTAAGATTAATTATTTTTGAAAAAGGTTTTTTGAAAGTACTGGTGTTCAATTTTTAATTTTTTTAATACCCAAAATAATTAATTACTATTTAGAATTTAATTTACAAGTATTAAAACTTGGGTGTATGATTTCTGCAAAAAATTACTGGAATTGAAAATTCATATTTTTTTGTAACAAAAAAGTGAATATTTTACAAACATATGAAAGAATTCAATAAGGTCAATATTTGTATATAACAATACAGTTTCATAATTTAAATAAAAAATTTTTTTATTTTATTTTATTTTTTATGTTATTTTAATTATTTTTTAAAAACATGTCTGCTTCTTATTAAAATAATTTTTAATCCAGATCGCTT